ATGCCTAATGTTTCAATTTTCAAGTCTCTGTGATTTGAATGCACTGTAGTCCTTGACTTTTACCACTATTCCATTTGTTCTGTTGCCTCCCTTCCACAATTCATATGAGGAAAAACAATAACAAACTGATTAACAAAAAATCAGTTATATTTACTTAGTGGTGACCCTCATTGAGCACCATGTAGAAGGACTTGCTTGAGCTTTTATCCAAGTCAAATTCCCCTGGAATAGCCTGAGCTCAAGCTGTATGAAAATGGGTTTAACACTGCATGGGTTGCTTAGAGATTACCCATGTTTGGACTGAGATCCTTATTAGGTTTAGAGCACTGGATAAGCACCCCTCTCAAAAGCCTACTCGTATGCTGCTACTCTCACTCCTCTGACTGGTTACTAAAATAACTGGGAAGTCTGGATTTCTGAGTTCTGTGCTTAAATCTGCCAGTGATTTGTGTGTGACCTTAGAGCAAGTCACTTTAAACAGCTCTCAGCGCACGCGCATTTTAGTTTACAGCTTTCACGATTATGTGGCACCTGAACTCCTCGGTTAAGAAGTGCATTACGTCTTACCACCCCCTGCCTATATCATCCTCCTAGCCGTGCCTCCTACCTGGTCCACAGATCACAGCTCTCTGATCTGTAGTTTGGGGGCCTTTCATTTTCCCTTGGCTTCACTTTTGAGCACGGCATGCCACTGCCTTTATTAAATGCTCCAATCTCTGTGCTGGGTGAACATGGGCAGGTGCAATGGATTAAGGTGATAGATATGTCCTGTAAGTCATCCTGGCTGGTTTCCAGGCCTATCCCCATCTAGGAAAAACAAGAGCCGTAGTCTGCCTGCACACCCAGCAAGTTAATGCTGCTCCAGTGCAGGCTCGCACTCGCTTTGGATGAAACAGGATCTTCTGCTTCGTGAAGGGTGGTTTATTTTAAAATGTCATCTGTAATCATGCAGGGCTGCAAAGAACTGTCTATGTTTTAAGAAGCGTACAGTCTAAATAGCAGTAGCTTTTAATAACGCTGGCTGGAAATTCTAGCTCGGCCTATCCTGGCACAGGTGCGCTCCCCCCTGTATTGAGTTACAGCGTGCGCCCGTCTGCAGCGCTGCACCACCTTTACCAGCTACAGACTAAAGGGGAAAAAATGAGAAAGGGGACACATGTTTAATACGTCCAGAGTTGAGTCACAGTCAACGAATGCAACAGGTAAGCCAGACTTGAATATACACCTGTAAGGAAAGAAAGCATTGCCACATCCAGCACAGGGTTTTGTTCCGTTTAATAATAAGCAGAGAATCGCCTTCGAAGCGGCACAACCGAACACCCCGCTTGTTGCGCCCCTCCTTTCGCTTCGGTTATGTCAGCTTCGTCACCGCTCTACCGTTACCTGACTCGCCCTGACTTAACTGTGGCAAAGGCCCTGCAACCCTTTCTGTTCCCTTCGGCCTGCTGCGCGCCGGCAGGAAAGGCAAAGGGGTCGGAGGCGCAAAGGGGCCGCCCGGCCTCGCCTCGCCGCAGCCGCAGCCAACGCCACGCGTGAGGGGCCTCGCGCCCTCCCCGGGCGGCGGATGGAACTGCA